CTGCCTATTTTAAGTGGACAGGAACCCTGGTTGAGGCACTGGAAAGGAAAAAGCCTATGCAGAGGGATTAAAATGAGACTTAGAACCTGGAGCTGCAAGTCCCTACCCGCATTGGCCCTACAAAATTAAGCTAGAGCAATGTGCATTTATAGCATCACCTGATAGCTTGAACAGAGATAGCATTCTGAGCACTTAGTTATCTCAGACACCTTCCTTTGATGCTAGTATAATGATGATGATTGAGGCAGCTAGGTGGAGCAGTGGATAGACTATAGAACCTGGAGTCAGGAAGACCTGAGTTCAGATTTGGCCTCAGACACTTAACTAACTGGGTGACCCTGAGCAAGTCACTTAACCTCTGCTTGCCTCAGTTTCTTCAACCGTAAAATGGGGACAATAGCAGTACCTACCTCCCAGGGTTGTGAGAATCAAATAAGATAATATTTGTAAAGTGTTTTATACAGTATATAAATGTTTATTCCTTTCCCTCTCCTCCCTTTATGATACTTACCATTTACATAGTACTTAAGGTTTCCAAAATGCATTTATATAAATGCCATAATTTGATTTTTACAACACTCTTTGAGGTAGCTGTTATTCTTTTTTGTTGTTGTTCACTTGGGTTTTTTTTTCAGTTGTGTCCAGCTCTTTATGACCCCATTTGGGATTTTCTTGGCAAAGATACCAGAGTGGTTTGCCATTTCTTTCTGCAGCTCATTTTATAGATGAGGAAACTGAGGCAAACCAGGCTAAATGACTTGCTCAAGATCACACGGCTGTTAAGTGTCTGAGGCTGGCTTTGAACTTATCTTCCTGCCTCCAGGCCCAGCACTCTATCCACTGTGCCACCTAGCTGCCCATTTTACAGTTGCTAAAACTGAGTACCAGAGAAGTTAAATGACTTGCCAGTGATCTCAAAGCTAGTTAAGTGTTTAAAATAGGACTTGAACCCGTCTTCTTGCTTTCAAATCCAGTGCTCTTTATACTGCACCAAGTTGCTTCTCTATGTAAAGCACATGCTCCTGTGAGTAGGTGCATAACCTTTTACATAAAATACAGAGCAGTAATGTTCTCTCTCTCTCTCTCTCTCTCTCTCTCTCTCTCTCTCTCTATATATATATATATATATATATATATATATATATATACATACACACACACACACACACACACACACACACACACACACATACCCCATCTCACTCAAACTTCACCTCAACCCAGAAGTAGCCACACTGTTTTTCTTGGAGTCACCTAGAATGGGAAGAGAGTAGGCTAAGAATCTGTGGGAAGAGAATGAGTGTTCCATGGTACAGGTTGAAAATGAAACATATTTTTAAGATTCTCCCACTTGGACACTAAGAAGTCCTATGGCCAATGCTCATTTGAAAGGTGAGTGCGAGAAGCCTTTCTAAGAGAGGCAGGTAGGTGGCACAATGGATAGAGCACTGGGCCTGAAGTCAGGAAGATCTGAGTTCAAATCTGGCCTCAGATACTTACTAGCTATGTGACCCTGGGCAAGTCACTTAGCCCAATTTACCTCAGTTTCCTCATCTGTGAAATGAGCTGGAGAAGGAAATGGAAAACCACTCTGGTATCTTTGCCAAGAAAATCCCAGATGAGGTTACAAAGAGTCAGACACAATTGAAATGATTGAACAACAAAAATAGGAAGCTCCAGTCCTTAACCAAAGACAAGGTAAAGCTAAACCAAGAGGGCAATGTATGATACGATGACAGGGCATGGCCTTCCCATTGGGGGGGATGAGGCAAGGCGGGTGGATTGCTTGAGTATAGGACCAAAAGGCTGCCTAAAAGGGGCAAACCAGCCATGTTGGAAATTGAACAGGGCAAAGCTTCTATACTCAGGCCTGTGAGCAGCAGTTGTACTTCCAACCTGAATTAGATGGGGAGACCCAGTCTTAAAAAACAAAAAAATTGAAAAAAACCCCACCAAGAACATAGGATCATAGATTTATTGTTAAGAGGGATTTAGAGGCCACCAACTCCAACCCCATCATACAGATCCAGGAACTGAGGCAGAGAGAGAGAGAGAGAGAGAGAGAGAGAGAGAGAGAGAGAGAGAGAGAGAGAGAGAGATTGATTGAGATTAAGTGATTTGCCCAGGGTCATACAGCAACTAAAGGTCCAGGGCAGGTTTTGAATCCAGGTATTTATGACCCCAAGTCCAGGGCCCTATAGGTCAGAAGCAGGAAAGTTCCAGGATAATAATAGCTAGCATTTATGTAATGCCTACTTTATGCCAGGCAAGGCATTATGTGCTTTACAAATATTATCTCATGTGATCTTCACACAACCATGAGTCCAAGGGAGGGAGGAGTGAAAAGACCTGGCCAGGAATCAAGCTATGTAATTTAATACCATGATAGCAAGGAGTGTCTAAATTTAAGAATTTCCTTAATTAGTTGTCTTTGGGTGCATGTATATTCTTCTGCCTGGTCCTGTGAGGCTGGGCTTCTACTTTCTGAATGTGCTGCAGGTCCATGACTCCTGTCACCACTGCCCACACTAATTGCCATGGAAACAGCTGTTTCTAAGTGCCATAGGACAATAGGTAGTTCATGGAATTTTTATTTACATTTTTCAAATGAAGAAATTGAAACTCAGAGAAATTCAACCCATCCCTCTTCTAAACTTCCCTATTTCTATCAAAGGCACCAACATTTCTCCAGTTACTCAAGTTCACAAGGTAAGAGTCATCCTCCACTTCTCAGCCTCACTCATACCACATATCCAATAAGTCACTCAGTCTTATTGATTCTACTTCCTCACCGTATCTCCTGTCCAACACCACAACCACCCTAATTCAGACCCTCATCACCTCTAACTTGGACTATTTCAATAGCCTCCTAATTGATCTCCCTAACCAAGTCTTTCCTGTCTCCAACCCATCCTTCATGGGTGGACGAGAACAATTTGTTCCAAGGACCACAAAGGCAGCTGAAGCAGGCACTGTGGAGTGCTTAGAGCCTGGCCAGACATCACTTGATGCCAAGGTCATCCACTGCATCCCAGGCCATTCCCAGGCATCCTGATGTTTGTTTTGCCACTGGACTTCAATGAGTCTGGAAGAGAGAGTGAGGCTGACTACCTTGTGCAACTCTGCCTCACTTAAATCCAATTCGTGAGGGAGTCCAGACATCATTCATGAGGTTATTAGTCTTCTTTGAAAATGGAGGATGAACACAGGATATTCCTGAAACACAAGTCTGACTTTGTCTACTCCCTTGGTCAATAAATTTCAGTGGCTTCCTATTAGCTCTAGGATCAAATGCAAATATCTCCATTTGGTATTTAAACTACTTTACCACCTGGCTTCCAATGACCTTTCCAGGCTTATTTATTCACCACCACCACCACCACCACCCCTCCATTGATGTTCCAAATAAACTAGCCTTCTTGTTGTTCCTCATACATAATGTTCCATCTTCCTTCTTCATTCCTTTGCATAGGCTGTCCTCTCTACACCTATAACGAAGTCCCTCTTCACCTCTGACTCTCAGAATTTCTAGGTTCCTTAAAAAGTCAGCTCAAATATTGCTTCTTATGTGGGGCCTTTTTTTGATCCCTAGAATTGCCAGGGCTTCCCCTATTGAAATTGCTTTTTACTTACTTTGTATGGTTTATGTGTGTGCGTATATGTATGTATGTATGCTTGTAGCTGTTGCTTTCCCCAAGCAGAATAAATTACATGAGGGTAGGGATGATTTCATTTTTGTCTTTCTTTCCCCAGCAGAGGAAACAGGACCTGGCACATAGTAAACACTTGTTGATTGTTTAAATAACTCACCCCAGATCACACAGCTAGTAGGGACAGAACTAGTACTTGAACCCAGATCTCACAGATTATAGGACCAGTGTAAGAAAGGACATAGTATGGGAGCTAGAAGAGATCTTAGAGCACCTCCTTTGCAGGGTTGCTGTGAGAATCTAATGAGATAATATTTGTAAAATGTGCTTAACATAAATGTCTGGTGCATCATAGTCATTATATAATTGTTTGTCCCCCTCTTTTTCCAAGCCTTTCATTTTTGGGGGGCTAGGGGCCTAGGCGATGGAGTTAAGTGACTTGCCCAGGGTCACACAGCTACTAAGTGTCAAGTGTCTGAAGGCAGATTTGAACTCAGGTTCTCCTGACTCCAGGGCCAATGTTTCATCCACTGTGCCATCTCGCTGCCCCCAATCCCTTCATTTTTACAGATGAGGAAACTGAGGCCCAGAGAAGTTGAATTACTTGCCCAAGGTCACACATGTACTTTTCAACAGGGTTGACAACTGAACCAAGGTCCTCTCTCTCCAAATTCAGCCTTCCCTCCACTATACCCTGGAAAGAGTCTACCCTCATTATTCTCATCCTAGCATTCTTTCCACTACACTATGCCTACCTACAGAAAGTGGGGAGAGTGGTTTCTCAAATGGAGTAGGGGATTTGTTAATTTTTCTTGACTGAAGAAATAAATGCAATTAAAAAAATAAAATTGGGTATATAAGTCAAAGTATTAGAGTAGAATGCCATTCATATTTCTCTGCTCCCTCAATTATATTTTTTAGGTTGTAAAATTCTTTTTAAAAAAATCTTTATTCAATATTGCTTTGCTTTCCCTTGATGTCAAGAAATGAAATTTAGCAGTGGGGTTCTTTAGTAACCAAAATTGAAAGGTAGAGCTGCTATTCAGAAACTTATGCTTTTTGCTGCCACAATTAGCAAATTACTCTTCTCCTTAGGCTATTTAAATATATATCTATATCTATATCTATATCTATATATCTATCTATACATAGATATATAGATATATATATACACATATATCTATATATATACACACACACACACACACATAGATAGATAGATAGATAGATAGATAGATAGATAGATATTATATAGTTAAAGAATTTTGCAGGAAGAAAGGCAAGAATGAGCCAGAGGGCATTCTAAACTCGAGCTGGGCCAGAGAAGCAGTGATGAGAATAGGCTTTTACCTGAGACTGTATAGCACCTTCCCATCAGGCTGGACCCGAAGCATAACATTGTCGGTGGTGGTGTCATGGATGAAGGACCTCTTGGAATGTACAAAGAACATGTCAGGAACCCAGATCTTTTTTACCAGTCGGCCATCGAACGTCATGCTGAGGTTGTTTGTGCTAGGGAAAGACAGCCTTTCATCCTTCCAATAGTGTCTCAGGTATAAGGTCATGGTAAAGTCCTAAAGGGGAAAAACCAAAAGCAATGGTGGATATTAACATTGTATTCTTTAACCCCACAGAACACACCTCCAGGAGAATGAAAATGAAATGGCAAACACCTTTCTAAGAAGTGCAGTGGTATAATGGAAAGAACTCTAGATGTGTAGTCAGGAGAGACCGGAGTTTGAATTCTGACTCTGACACTAGTTATGTGACTCTAGCAAGTCACAACCCATTTGCAGCTGTTATTTGTAAAATGATAGTAAATATACTTATACTATCTACTCACAGAGTTGCTACGAAGAAAGTACTTTGAAATTTTTAGTCTTATATGTGTGAGTTGTTACCTCCTTTAAAAAAATCCCTTTCAATTAATCTGACCATCCTGGCTAGTTCTTATCCTACATTTCTCTTCCCTTTCTAGGCTAAATTCTAGGCTAAACTCCAGAAAATTACCTACACGAGGTGTCTCTACTGCTTTTCTCATTCTCTTCTTCACCCTCTGCAATCTGGCTTCCAGGCTCATTAAAGATTACTCTTCTTCACACACTCAGTGTTCTAGATAAACTGGTCTTTTGGTTTTCTCTGTACAAGGCATTCCACTTCTGGCCTTCCTGCTGTTGCCCATGCTGTCCCCTGTGCTTGGAATTCACTCCTTCCTCACCTCTGCCTCATAGAATTCTTAGCTTCCTTAGAGTCATAATTCAAGCCTCCTACTTGTGCCTGCCCAAACATTGGTACTCTCCCCTCTGTAGAAATGCAGCACCCTCTCCAGGGACTCGCCTCCACCCCACCTCCCCTGCTGCCCCCAACAAACACACTTGCATTAGTAAGTTGGGCCACCCAAAAGGCAGTTACTACCTTTTGGGTCTATACTCCTAAAACCATAACTGTGAATCCTTATCACTGAACCTCGCCTTTAATTATCATCCATTAGACACAATTATCTCAAAGCAAAGGCAGAGCAAGAACAATAGCTACAAAACATCCCCCCATAAACCTAGGGCAATGCTCCCACAAATGCACATAGTGTCAGGGGAAGAGTGGGATAAGCAGAGATCCCTGCTAGTGAGGCACACGTGTACGGAGCACATTGTAGGGCCCCAATGCCTTTTCTCTTCTGGTATACTCATGCTATTACCTCCTGAGAAATTTGTATGCCTCCCTAGGCCTTCTCCTCTCTGTAGATTAGCTCCTCACTGCAATTGTAATTCTCTCTTGAATTCATAGGTGGCTTTCTGCTGCTCAAGGATCATGCTCTAAGGAGGCACGTCCAGCTATCTCTGCCAGGTAAGATGCCATTACCAATGGTAGAGAAGGAGAGGAAAGATTCCCTCTCCTCTCTGCCTGCCCTCTGATAAGGCAAAGACATCACTCCACAGAATTACTCCTTTCCTCCCCTGACTCAGTCTCCAGGGCTGGCAAATGTAGCTTTGAAAAGAGGTGTGGTCCATTTTCAGCTATCCAATTGCAAAATGCTCTTCTAATTCCGTCTGGGAAACTACTCTATACTTTGTGAAGGGATAACAGGGTGAAGACACACCTTTATACTTTTGTTTAACACATTAATATCTTATTACTTATATTATCAGCTCATTACTTTCTGTGATTACACCCACCAGACTGTGAGCAAAGCAATTCTATCCCACTGTAGAAACATTTCTGAATCCAACTATAATACGCCTGAAGACCCTTCTCTCCTCTAAAACAGGAGTTCTAAACCTGAGATCTGTGTGAACTTGTATATTGGGATAGTTCTATTTTAAACTAATATATTTCCTTCATAATCCTATGTATATTATTTTATGTATTTAAAACATTATCTTGAAAAGGGGCCCATAGACTTCAACAGATTTTCAAAGAGTCTACAAAACAAAAAAAAGTTTAAAAACCCCTGCTCTAGAAGCACTTGGAAGAAAATTGTTTTTCTGTCTTTATTTCCTGATTCTTTATTCAAGACCCACTTCCTCTAACCTATGTGTTTCAACAAACTTTTCTAGGATACAAAAATGTTTTGCGTAGACTATTTTTCATTTCCCTGGTGAGCTTGCAGATAAAATAACTTCATGACCTTCCATTTAGAGAACATTTACTATTAAATGATGGGGAACAGATAGGAGAGATTTATCACCTTTCCAAATTCTGAAAATAAGACCCAAGTCCAGAAATCCATAAGTGTCTCACAAGTAGTTCGTATTTACTTTGTATAGTTTTGCTTTGATTTATCTGTATTGATTTATCCCAGGGGATCTGTATTGATTTGTCTTATGAGATCATAGCATCATAGGCCTAGAACCCAAAGGAACCTCAAAAGACAACCTAATCCAACTCTTTCATTTTGCACAAAAGGAAACTGAGGCTCAAGGCCTCATGCTTTTCTCCTGGTTGAATGTAAACTTCTTGAAGCAAGGGACTGTTTCATTCTTGTCTTTTTTATCTTTGATGCCTAGTTTACTGTGCCTTGCATGTAGTAGGCACTAATAAATAATTGTTGAATGAATGAATGGATAAATGAATGAAATTCTGGACTGACATCCCCGGCTTTGGACCACTGATACAAAAGGTTTTTTCCTGCTTCTCACCTTGCTTTTGGTTTTGTTTACCTTGGAAACGTTAGTTTGACTCAACATAACTTCCTCTCACTTAGGTCAGGACTTGGATCTCAAATTGAACCTCATTTTCTTTCTCACATTTCCTTCCTTGAGCCCTGTTAATTCCCCAAAGGACTTGAGGTTCAACAGTATTGTCTCACACCCAGGCTGCCCTTCTGCTGTAGAGAGTGACTGAACTTCGGGTAAGCTTATAAATCCTTTGGCTTGTTCCCCAGAAACCTCATTGTTGCAACAACAGTTGGACCAGATTTTCTCGGGACTGGCCACCCCCCTAGGGTGTGTCTATTTGCAAAAAACAAACAAGTGGGTCTGGAAGTGAGTAGACTTAGCAACTCTACTCTGCCATCGGCACTGGGAGCTTCCCATATCCTTTCACAAGGCCAGCTGAAGAGCTCTTAGGATTTCTGGCCCAGTGTATCCCTACTCCCAGGGCCTCCCCACAGCCCATGGGCAAGACGGCCTTTGACACACCTGGCCTGGATAGGCAGACCATCCCTCTACATCCTAGGCAGTGTTCCTCTATTAGACAATGCAATAGGGTGCCTCCAGGATTGGCAGGAGTCTTTGAACATCACCCTTTCAATTAAAAAAATGCTAGTTGATGGATTCACTGACTTGGGAAGAAATAAGTAACTAAGGGAGAATCATGGAATTTGGGAGTTGGAAGGAACCACATACTGTGCATCTAATCTAATTCATACACGAAAGGAAACCCCATTCTAAATAGTAAGCACTTAATAAATCCTAGTTGGCTGACTCTGAGATCCTTTTTAGATGTACATCTATGATCCTATGCCTTGCCACCCCAGACATGTGGTACAATAGAACAAGAACTGGTATTAGAGTCTGAGGACCTGGGTTTGAATCCTGCCTCTGCCACTTACTCTGTGCAACCTTGAACAAGTCACTGTACTTCTCTGTAAAATGAGGGAGAGTGGACTAGATTACCCCTGAGGTCCCTTTTATTTCTAAATCTATGATTCTATCATACCTGCCCCAATGGATCAATTTTTAAAAGGTATAGCCACAAATTAGCCCAGGTGAAAGGAACCACTCATTTTGAGTCCTCCTTTTGGTTATTATTGAAGTTGATGTATCCCTTCCATCATTCTCTAAGACCACCTGCTGGCAACTCAACACACATAGGAGGGGGCTTGTGGGATTGAGGATGGCTCTCGGTCCTGTGCCTCCCCTTTCCTCTTCTACAATAGCAGGAAAGAAGATAATAAGAATTTGACTATTGTTATTCTAAATGTGAAACCCTTCCTTGTCCAACGACCAATAAGTTGACACATTGATAGAAGAGCTAAAGTATACTAATTTCATCATTCTTGTTACAAATAACACCAGAAGATGAGCTTGGCATGAAGAGCAAGACATGACAGGAGGATCACTAAAGTGTTCCATGGGTAGCCCTATGATCTGGGGAGAAAGTGAGGAACCTCCAGAATGCTGCATGGATACCATGTGGTGAACTTTGGGGATGAGAGGTACACAAGGTGGGAAGGCATGTATGAGTAATCTGCACCTTGGCTTAGGTCTATGTGATCTTCCCAGGAAGGCATGGTGGGAAATGTCCTGCTTCTGCCATAACAGCATAGTGGTGAGCCTTGTAAACATGGCCCAAACTCTCATTATGGCTGCCTGGTATTTTGGAGAAGCCCATATGGGACATGAGACCTGCCAGTGTGTCAGTCTACCATGGGTTAGTTTGTGAGTTCTCCCCATAGTCCTGCTGAAGAACCTACTGAAGGTATTCATGTGGATGCCCACAACAAACAGGGCTCTTAACAAACCTGGGTAGTGGTTTATCTTGTCTCCTCTATAGCGCACACATCCCCACAAATGGGTTCAGGTATTGCAATGGAGGAAGCTGGCACTGTGCATATTTCTACAATATGCAAGGAAGCTAGGAAGTCTGAGCTATTTATAATAAAAGTAGGAGGTATGTGCATAAAAATCACAGCTGAGCCTTAGAGGTATCACCAGGATGGGGTTAACATTCTATCATGCCATCCCCCTTTCTCCTGCTCCTCTTTATGGGTTGTCTTTCCCCACTAGAATATAAGCTCTTTGAGGGCAGAGACTATCTTTCTTACTTGTATTTGGATTCCAGCATTTAATACAGTGCCTGGTACATAGTAACTGCTTAATAAGTGCTCTATAAAAATTCCACTGAAACTAGAAGCATCTTCAGACTGCCCAGAAATGAAGCCAGGGGCAGATCCTCTGGGGGTCCTTCTTTAGACACCTTGACTTTTTTATAGTTTTCATCCTGGCACATTATAAGAGAGTAAATGCACCATCACAGAATCAGCCCAGAGTGGGGACACTACGTGATTCATTCCCTATGAGAGGTATTGCTACATCCCAAGAATTTCATTGGTTCATAGCTTCCACTAGCTCTATTTGAAATGTTTATTGTTGTTGTTCAGTTTTTTAAATCTTTTCTGATTCTTGATGACTCTATTTGGGGTTTTCTTGTTAAAGATACTGGAGTGGTTTGCCATTACCTTCTCCAGCTCATTTTGCAGATGAGGAAACCGAGTTAAACAGGGTTAAGTGACTTACCCAAGGTCACACAGCTAGTGTCTGAGGCCAGATCTGAGCTCAGGTCTTCCTGACTCCAGATCTAGTGCTTTATCAACTGTACCACCCAGCTATTTCTATTCGAAAAGACCCACCAGCAAAAGATTTGGGAGCTGCCTACCTGGTTCCAAATGACCATCTTCCAAAAGGGCAAGGGGCCCATAGCCAAGGAAGGATTGACATCCAAAAGACTGCTCTGTCTGTGTCTGTGCTATTGTCTATATTCCCTGGAGGATAGCTCTGTAGTCAGGTCTGAGCCTATGACATAATAGTCTTATATAGGTCATGGTTAAAGCCCAATTTGTATTATATATGGAAATGCTGGTATTTGTTGAATTAATAGGTTTTTAAAAAAGAAAATTTTGGAAAAAATAAAATAAAAGTAATCAACTTGTGTCTCTGCAATTAAGTCATCATGAAGATTTGAACAAATCACTTTCTTTACAAGCATCTATGGTTTGGAAATGGAACATTATAATGAGAGCAGCTAGGTGGTACAGTGGATAGAGTGCTTTGCCTGGAGTCAGGAAGACTTGCCCTCAGACACTTACTAGCTGTGTAACCCTGGGCATGTCATTTAATCCTGTTTGCCTCAGTTTCCTCATCTGTAAAATGAACTGGAGAAAGTAATGGCAAACCACTCCAAGAAAACCCAAAATGGGGCACTAAGAATCAGATATGACTAAAATGACTGAACAATAATGATAATGACCAAACCTGGCTCTACCTTCTTTGTAGGAATAGAGGGCTATAGTTGTGAAACTGTGCAACACTTGATTGATTCATCGGTTAAATTTCCTGAACTGCCTTTTTTCCCTTTTTTTGTTCTTTGTTTGAAAGGATAGTTTCCAGGATGGTGAAGAGGAAAAGAATATATCTGGAAATGAAGGTGATATAAAAACCAAAGAAAGCAATAAAAAATTTTTAAAAATTTAACCCTACATGCAGTCCCTTGAGAGTTCTGGTGGTTATAACTATGGCATAATGTTTGTTGAAATGTCCTATGAAGTGGACACTTAGTCTGAGGAGCATGTAAGGAAGCCACCAGGTCAAGAGCATCCATACTCTAATTCTCCGAAGTAGCTAGAAGCTACTTTTATCAGGGACCCTGTAGTCAAGCTCCGTTGGGGAGATCAGGACCATTTGTTGTTGTTGTTGTTGTTGTTTAATCGTTTCAGTCATGTCCGACTCTTCATGACCCCACTTGGGGTTTTTCTGACAAAGATACTGGAGCAGTTTGCCATTTGCTTCTCCAGCTCATTTTACAGAAGAGAAAACTGAGACAAACAGGTTAAGTGACTTGCCTAGGGTCACACAGCTAGTAAATGTCTGAGGTCTGATTTGAATCTTCCTGACTTCACATGTGGTATTCTATCCACTGTGCCAGCTAGCTTCCTGATTTATGACTAGATGAGCTCTACAGTAATACCTAGCCTTTATATAGCCCTTCAAGGTCTGTGAAGGGATGTACCTGTATGTATTGTTATTATTATTCTCCTTTTATGATTTTAATAATTTTTTAAAAATTATTCGCCCAACAGACAAACAAAAGAGTAAATCACAGTGCCTTGAGATTACCGAATTCAGTTATCCCTGCCCTTTGATCGTGTATTCTTTTTATCTCTGTGTTAATTGAACTGGCATTTCACACCTCAACACAAGTTTAACCTAAACCCTTCTCTGACTGTTGTTTGCTGTCTGCCAGGAAATCTCATGTCTCCTGATGCCTGCATTTCAGGGTATTTACCTAACCATGACGAATTTTGCCCTGCTTCTCTGTGTACTGACAAGAAAAGACATAAATAACATTTTTTTACCTGAGACAAACAGTACAAAATGCACATTCCAATGCTGTTGGGGAGTTTTTAAGGGTAAAGCAGGGTAGGGGAGTGATACTCCAAAGAAAAATTCACCTGGGATGCCCCCTCTGGCATAGCATTGGGTATCATCATTTTAACTAATTATTCTTGGAACTAGGTCCTAACTTCAGGTGTTCCACCCTCAACCAATCAATCAAGAAATCAACAAACATTCCAGCTAGGTACTGAGGATACAGAGATAAAGAGTGAAACAGTTTTGCTCTTGAGGAATGTATATTCTATTACGGGAGACATGTCTCTGTGTAAATATACATAAAATAAAAACAGAGAAGTTAGGGAGGAAGAGAAACTGGGGGGGTATCAGAAAAGGCTTTGTGTAGAAGGTAGAAGTTGAGGCAGAGGCAGGAGTGTGCTGGTCAATGTTTTAATAGCCAGTTCTCCAGAAAAACAAACAAATAAATATGTGCTATGCAATCAATGAAACAATAAATCAAGACCTGTAGTTTATTGTAATTTATTTCTGATGTGCAATGCTAATATTTACACTGGAAACTTAGTCAGCTCTTGCAGCTATTTCCAGCTGGCTCCTGCACACCCCGGGCAGAAATGAGGAGAGAGTAAATTCCAGGTGTGGTGGAATACCAGTGAAAAGTCACAGAGACAGGATATAGAATTCCATGTGTGAGGAATTCAGAGACGGCCCATTTGGCTACAGAGTAGAATGTGGAAGGTTGAATGATGTGTAATGAGACTGGAAAAATAGATTGTGGCCAAGTTGTGAAGGGCTTTCAAAGCCAAACAAAGGAGTTTATATTTGATCCTAGAGTTTATAAAGTAGGAGAAAGACATGGTCAATATGTACTTACAGAGAATCATTTTGGAAGCAGTGTGGAGGGTGATTGGAATGGGGAGACACCTGAGTCAGGAAGACAAATTAGGAGACTATTGTAATAATTTAGGAAAGAGGTGAGGAGGGCCTGAACTAATATGATGGCTGTGTGAATAAGGAGATAGGTTGGATTCAAGAGATGTTGTGGAGGAAAAGATAGCAAGATCAGGAAGCTGAATGAAGGTAGGGCATGAGGGAGAGTAAAGAGTGGAGGATAATATAAGATTACAAACTGGGGAGACTGGAATAATAGTGGATGCCCTTGAAAGAATAGGAAAATTAAGTATAGGGGAGGTTTTCAAAAGAAAGCCTACCTACTGAAGGACCGCAAGTCAATGCCTTCTAAATTTTGCTTCTTTGGGGCAAAGCATTGATTGCCACACCCTAGTTATGGCTCTGCTAACCAGTCCTTTGCCTCTCCTCCTCCTCCCGTACTATCTACAGGGACTTAGCCCTTCCTTTACACCCCAAAGGGTTAAAACTCTCTATAGAAAGTAGTTCCCATTCAGTATGTTCTCTCCCAGGCACAGCCAGGTGAATGGGACAATGGTTGTATTTTGTCAGCCAGTCAGTAAACATTTACTAAGCACCTACTATCTAGGTACTGTGCTAAGCACTGGGGGTATAAAGAAAGGCAAAAGATAATCCCTGTTCTCAAGGAGTTCACAGTTTAATGGAGGGAAACTATGCGAATAATTATACACAAACAAGCAATGTACAGGATAAATTGGAGATGATCATCAGAGGGAAGGCACCAACACTGTAGGGGGATAAGGAAAGGCTTCTTGTAGAAGTGGGAATTTTAGGGACTTGAAAGAAGCCAAGGAAGCCGGGAGACAGAGATTATGAGGTGGAAGAGAAATCCAGTCATGGGGGACAGCCAGTGAAAATGCCCAGAGTTGGGAAAGGGAATGTTGTATTCGAAGAACAGCAAGGAGGTCACTGTCATTGGATGGCACCTAGGCTGTGAGCATGGATGACTAGGGAGATGGTGGGGCCCTCAAAATAAGGAGGTTTGGGGGGAAAGATAATGCATCCATTTTGAACATGCTGAGTGCCTACGGGTCGGTCATCCAGTACAAAAGGTCAAATAGGCAGTTGTAAATATGAGACTGAAGGTCAGCAGAGCAATTAGGTCCTGATATATCATATTTGAGAATCTTCAGCACAGAAATGATAATTGAATCCATGGGAGTTGAGGAGATCACCAAATGAAGTAGTATGGAAGGAGAAGAGAAGAGGACCCAGGACACAGAGCCCTGTACATTTAGAGCATTTCCAGGGCTAATCACGCAACCCAGTGATAGGACAGCCAACTGATAAAGTTGTTTGCTATCATATTAATATCTGAATAACGAATTGCCCTCTTATAACTTTGTGCCTCGATTCTTAGATCTAACCTCTTTTCTTTGGTGTCAGAGTGGTACTTACCATATCAACTTCTGAGATGCTATCCAGACTTTCAACTTGAACATCTACACCAACAGGAATGGCAGGACCTGAAAAGTGGATGATGATGATGATATCAGATATTCTTTTGGTAGCAAGTATCCACTTCCCCCCCCCCCAAAAAAAAAGAACATGAGCAATTTCCTTAGAACCTGGGTGTCATGTCTTTACTCCTACCGTGCTGCCCTGATGGGCCAAAATGAAATTAATTGACAGGTAAGAATAGTTAAGGTGAGAACTTAGAAAATTCAGATGAAGGCTATTTCTTTTACCCAAATTATTTTACTTACTCACATGGTACTGAATTTCCAGCTTGCACAAACCCATGTTGGACTGTGATCACAGCAATAAGGTGCCAAGTTTGTAATTAGAGAAAGCGACCTCAAGGTGACTCAAAGAGCTTCAAGAAGAGGCTCATCATTCAAAGGTCTTGCCTGAGAAATTATTGAAGTGAGATGCTTTCCAGGGTATGTGGCCATTTGCTATATCCCCCTTTTTTTACTAATTTATTTTGCTCTTTTATTCATTTTGCTTCTTAGAGGCCTCAGTATGATAGAAAATGAATGGCATTTGGAGTCAGAAGATCTAGGTTCTAATCTTGGCTCTGCCACTTTATATCTGAGTGAACTTAGTCAAGCATTGAACATCTCAGGGTCTCAGTTTTTCATGGTACAATGAACATAGAGTTATGTTCTCTAGAGTTATAGGACTTGCATTCAAATCCTACCTTTTACATTTACCTTCCCTTTGCGACCTCAGGCAGCTCATTTAACTTACTTGGTTCTCGTTTCCTTAACTGTAAAAGGTGATGGGGGTTGGACTTGATCAGGGGTCCTTAATCTTTTTTGTGTCATGGACCTCTTTGATAGTCTGGTAAACCTTATGCCCCTTCTCAGAATAAGGTTTTTAAATTCATAAAATAATATACACGGGATTTCAAGAGAAAATTGAAATATAATTATCCAAGTTTTTTTTTTTAAGTTTACAGATGTCAGGTTAAGAACCCCTGGACTAGATGTCCCTTCAAGTTCTAAATCTATTATCCTATCATTGTCATTATTATTATTACTGCTTTGGGCCTTAATTTCTTCGTCTCTAAACTGAGGGAATTTGGCTAGATGACATCTAACTTCCAGTTCTGAATGTGACTTCTATCTCTAAATTTGTGATCTCATAATCCAATTCTTACACATCAGGAACCAGTGGTCCAGCCTAGCCATGAGAGGGCAGCACTTTCTACTAAATGACCAAGAGTCCATTGAGCAAGCAAGGGTGGGGAACTGTGGCCTTGAGGCCATATGTGGCCCTCTAGGTCCTCAAGTGTGGATGACCCTCTGACGGAATCCAAACTTCACAGAACAGATCCCCTTAATAAAAGGATTTGTTCTGTAAAACTTGGACTCAGTCAAAAGGCCACACCCGTGGACCTAGAAGGCCACATGTAGAGACTGTGAGTAGGGCCTTATCAACATTTGGACCATTTACTAAGCAAATCCTTCTCTTAAGTTTAGGGTTTTTTTCTTTGTTACTGAAGAATACAGGTTGGAATTGAAGTAAAGGGTAATGAATGAACCACTCAGCTAACTGGTGAAATTTGGAGCCATTTCATTTTTCTTTGCCTCTTGGACTATAGAATCTCTAACATATATAGCCAGTAAGAATGCATTTAAACAAGCTTTTCTCCCTACTTAACCATTAAAGTAGCAACAAAATATAAAAGCCTTGGGAGTGCCAACAATTCGAGCTCCCAAAGGACAAAGATAGGACCTTAAATTTTCCTCCTTTGAAGGAGCAGAGAGACCCGAACTAGTAGTCGTTCAGTCATTTCAGTTATGTTGCAACCCCATTAGGGGTTTTCTTGGCAAAGATACTGATGTGGTTTGCCATTTCTTCCTCCAGCTCATTTTATAGATGAGGAAACTGAGGTAAACAGGGTTAAGCCCAGGGTCACCCAGCTAATAAGTGTCTGAGTCCAGATTTGAACTCAGGTCTTCCTGACTCCAGGCCCAGTGCACTATCCACTTTACCGCCTAATTGCCCCTGACCTAGACCAGAGTATCAGACAAAATAAGACAATTAAACCTCAGGTGAAATCATCTGGTGACAAGGAAAAGCTATGCATGCCTACAGCCTGAACTGAGAAAGCTTTGCCAGCACTGGACTCTGGCCAATTATTTGCTGTAGGGCTTTACCACCTCCACCTCTGCCCCCACCTCTCATTTAATTAAACCAAGCAGATCAAACTCTGCCCTCAATTATGCATACACAGTTCCTGTTTCAGGCTCCCAGATGAAGAAGGATTTCATTATAGGATCATAGATTTGGAGTGGGAAAGGACCTCAGCGCCATCGAATTCAACCTCTTTATTTTCTAAATGAGGAAATTGAGGCTCAGAGAAGTTAGGTTTCATATGCAAAGTTACACAGGTAGTAAGGAGAGATTTGAACCCAGGTCTTCTGAGCCAGTGCTCTTTCCACAGCACCATAGTACCTGCCCAGTAGTCTATAGGCATTATGGCAGTGTGTTTTTCTTCTGCCTTCCATTGGGATATTTTGGATTACAGTAGTCCAGTCATTCTTTTCTGATCATATAGTAGGTTGTGATGCTTTATCATGTTTAGAAGTCATTATCAAGAGTTAAGATGGATGGAACACTGTGCAGATCACCCATTCCCAAAGGGCTATAAAACTGTCGTACCCTTTGACCCAGCAATGCCACTACTAGGTCTATATCCCAAAGAGATCCAAGAAAACGGAAAGGACCCATTTGTACAAAAATATTTATAACAGTCCTTTTCATGGTGGCAAAATATTGGAAATTGAAGTGATGCCCATCAATTGGGGAATGGCTGAACAAGGTGTGGTATGTGATTATGATGGAATATTATTGTGCTATGAGTAATGATGAGCAGATGGTTTCAGAAGAACATGGGAAGACATATGTGATCTGATGCAAAGTGAAGTGAGCAGAACCAGGAGAACATTATACACTATAGCAGCAATATTATAAGGATGATCAATTGCAAAAGACTTAGCTGATCAACACAATGATCCAAAACAATTGGAAATTGAGAGATTGCCCATAAAATGGGGAATAGCTGAATAAATTATAATACATAATTGTGCAGGAGTACTACTGTGCTTATACTGTGCGTATAAGAAATGATGAGCAAGGTTGTTTCAGAAAAACCTAAGGAGACTTAAATGAACTCATGCAAAGTGAAGCGAGTAGAACCAGGAGAACATGGTACACAGTAACAGCAATATTGTAAGGAGGATGAACTGTGAAAGACGCAGATACTCTGATCAGTACAATGAGACAAGACAAATCCAAAGGACCCATGATGCAATTCACTTCCAGAGAGAGAACTTATGAACTCTGAATGCAGATTGAAGCATACTGTTTTTGAAAAATGTATTTATCTTTATTGTTTTATTTTGTTTGTGTTTTCTTTTGCAACGTGGCTAATGTAGAAATGTTTTGCATGACCTCACATGTAAATCAAAATCAAATTGCTTACCTTCTCAAGGTGGGGGAGGGAGAATTTGGAACTCAAAAGTTTTAAAAATGATTGTTAAAAAACTTTAACATGTAATTGGGAAATATGAAACAAAATAAATACAACTAATTAAAAAAAGAAAACTGTGCCAATCCAGAGAGTGGTGGAGTGACCACTGAGCCCCATGATATCCCCACCTGATAGCACATGCCTTATATGACTAAAATCAGAATGTTTAACGCAGAGATGGCACTCAGCAGATGCTCACTGGATTCTTGCTTACTTGGCTGGCTGACCAAGTCCAACAGCAGAAAACCATAATTTGGGAAGAGTAAACTTTATGACATAGTTTTTTGGTTTATTTTTTGGAATCAGTCGGGGTGAAATGACTTGCCTAGGGTCATACAGCTAGTGTCTGAGGCCAGATTTGAACTCAGATCCTCCTGACTCTATCACCCCCTAACTACCTCCCAAGACATAGATTTGCTTGGCTTTTCACAAACGGTAGACAGATAGAAGAGAAGCAACAAAAGTACATGCTTCATACCTCCGAAGCCGGGCCTCATGCTGAAGTCACGGTCATCTATTCTCAGAAGTTGCTCAGATTTTGTCAGCGGAGACTTGGTGATGTCAGGACTTCGTTTCAATATTGAGCTATACAGAGAATATAAAGTCACTCATCCCCTTCTTCTGAACAAATGTGACATGTTTGATTTCAGTAGTGATGCTTAGGACGGTTTGGGGTTTCTTTTAATAGTGATGTCTGGGTTATAGAGGTGTTTGACTGAAGAGGAAAACCATCCACTCCCTTTCTCTGGCTCCTGCTCTCAAGGGGGCAGAGCCGCACTTTTCTAGCCATGCTCTAGCTCCTTCTACTTACACTTTGGTCACTGTCCTTTGCTCCCTGGAGCAGGGTATCTTTGAGCATGTGCAGAGAACAAGAAAGGAGAAATATACCTAAGGAAGCTTCCTTTTGCTTCTATTATTCACCAAACCTCCCACCACTTAAAATTGTTTACTCATGGCTCAGTATTTTGTCTAGATCACTGGGGTAGGGAACCTTCGGCCGTGCCACAGGTGGTCTTCTAAGTCCCTGGGTATGGCCTTTTGACTGAGGCCAAGTTTTACAGAACAAATCCTTTTATTAAGGGGATTTGATCTGGGACGTTTGAATTTCTCAAAGGGCTGCACTTGAGGACCTAGAGGGCCACATGGGGCCTCGAGGCTGCAGGTTCCCCACTCTTGGCTCTGGGATGAATGGATTAATTTAATTTCTCTCCTGATTTGGGAAAGTTATGGAATATAAACTAACAACATTCCCTTTCATTTAGCTCCAGAGTCCCCCAGATGCGAAGATCTGATAATTTCTGACAGTCTACTTTCTCAGTCTTATTCTCTGTCCGTATATAACCTGCTAGCCACTGCTTCTTCCTTTAATTCCTTTCTCAATAATGAAACACAGAAAGTCCTGTGTTTGACCACACTTATATTATGCCTGCTTTCAAGACTAATTGAACAGAAATGTAAATGAACTAAGAATTAATGAGCTTTGGATTTAACATAAGCTCTGTGGGGCAGGGATGGAAGGATGAGAGATAGGCAAAATCACCATCTGGTATCAGTTCTCCCAAATGGAAAATTCAACAACGGCCTATATGTGCTGACACCCCTCTAATCACTGGCCTCAATGAGGCAGGAGGTGGTGGAGGCAGGCTTACTCCAATGACTGCTGAAAGGACCCCCACCTCCAAGAATGTCTCACTTCTCCTCAGACTTCTCTAGCACAAAAGGAAGGTAACTGTTCTGTATCACTTTTGACAGTGGCTCAAAAACAAACTGAAGATTTCCTTCCCCCCAGCAGATTTCATTTCAGCTACTCTAAATCCTCAGCGGGGAGCAGAAGATGTGCTACACTTTCTTTTTACAGTTTTTTAAAAAGCCAGTCCTTCTTTCCTTTCTTCTCTCCTTCCTTTTGCCCCTACCTTCCTTCTTTCCACTTGTCCTCTTTCCTTCCTTCCATTTCTTCTATTCTTTTCCTTACCTCCTCATATCCCTTCCCTTCCTTTCCTTCATTTTCTTTCATTACTTGCCTTCCTTCCCTCTACCTTTCCTTCTTCTTAATTCTCTTCTGTTCTCTCTTTTTTCCCTTTTCTCCCCTCCCCACTGGCTTTCCTTCCTTCCTGTCTCCCTTCCTTCCATTTCTCTTTTTTTCATGCCAACACAAGGTAAACACTTCCTCCATAAGATAGCTCTTATTCAGAGAGTCTGGGAGATTTTGAATCAAATCATAATTTTAATAATATTAAATCCCGCCTCCCGTTTGGACTGTGGTATAACCTGCCTCTTTGTGCACTTTGGGAAGGATAGAAAGAGACTGAAGACACATTAGTCATCTACTGCTTCTAGAGACATCGACATTACGGAAATTTGTCTGGCCAGCTTCATGGATTTACAAGAGCCAAAACCCTAATTTATATATACCATAGGAGTTAGTTTCTTACCCTAAAATTCAGTTCACAAAATAGTGTTCTCAGAAATTATTAATCACTTGACCCATCTTCCACATCAGGCTCCTATTGTTTTCTAATTTCAGTTCTGCCCCAATCCATCTCCTTTATCCAATAATTTATCTTTGATGTGAACTACATCCTCACTGATAATCAGAGCAACCAACTGCAGGTCACAATCACAGAATTTCAAAGTTCTAAGGAACATTATTGTCCATCTAGTAGAAATCATACACTCAAAGAACCCCAACTGTAACATTGTCATAGGACCAGAGTTCCCCTGTTTCTCCATTTGTACTCAAGTGTTACCTTTATTCCTATTGAATTTTATCATACTAGATTCAGCCCAATCTCTAGCTTGTTAAGATCCTTTTGGATCCTGACTCTGTCATTCACTGTTTCTCTTTTTAGTATTCCCTAAAAGGAAACAAAGTTCTTTTAGGCATTTGATTGACCCTTGCTTGATTGATGAAGCTTCCTGTCCGCCTAAGTGCATAAAAAGTCTCAGCCATGGGGAGTCTGGGTGCCTCCAATTTGGTGGATTTTGGAAGTCCCCTTGAGTCACCACCCCTGGCCCTGCTGACTAGAATCCTTTCCATATGGAGGGCCATAACCCTAGGTGCCATGGTATCCTTGTTGCATATCTTTGTGTGATAGGGCAAAGTAAACTTCCTTTTGTTACCTGTTCAATGACTTGTAAGTACTACATTGAAATCACAGTATTCAACCTGAACTAACAGAGTGCTGGCATTAGGCCCACTCTTAACACATACCCATCAAGCAATGGTACAACCTCTACTTGAAGACTTCCAATGAGGCAGGACCCACCACCTCTTAAGGAAACCCATTCTATTTTTGGAACTCTAGTTGTTAATGAAGATTTTCCGGACATCAAGCCTAAATTTGTCTCTTTGAAACTCCCCCTCCCCTCTCCATTGCCCCTGATTCTGCCCTCTGAGGCCAAACAGAATAAGACTAATCCCTCTTCTATATGACAGTCCTTCAAATAATTGAATATTGCCCCTCCTACTCCTACCCCATCCTGAATCTTCTCTTCTCAAGGGTAATCATGACCAATTCCTTTAAGCAATCCTTATACAACATGGAGCCAAGGCCCTCTCCCATTCTGGTTGTGCTCCTCTGGACACTCTGCAGTTTATCAATGTCTTTCTTAAAACTATGGTGCCTAGCACTGGACACAATACCTTCAGATCAGTCTGATGATGGCATAGTAAAGTGAATCTATCACCTCCCTATGCCTGGAAATGATGCCCTTTTTCGTATTCTGCCTTCTACAGAAAGCCTTCTCTGACCCCTCTTAATTCTAGTGTCTTCCCTCTATTGATCATTTTTTATTTATCTCATATATGACTTATTTTGTATATATTTGTTTGCATGTTGTTTTCCCCATCAGATTGTAAGCTCCCTGAGGACAAGGACTGTCTTTTGTTTCTTTTTGTATCCTTGGTGCTTAGCATAGTGCTTGGCACATAGTAGGCACTTCATAAATACTGATTATAGGCCAAGACCACAATAGTATTCCTGGCTGCCATATGCCACTGCTGGCTCATCTTTAGCTTATAGTCCACTAAAACCCCTGTTCCCCTCAAGGCAGCTAGGTGGTACAGCAGATGGAGCACTGGGCCTTGAGTCAGCAATGAATTCAGATCTGGCCTCAGACACTTACTAGCTGTGTGTGACCCTGGACAAATCACTTAACTCCTATTTGCTTCAGTTCCTCATCTGTAAAATGAAGATACAGTGGAGAAGGAAATGGCAAACTATTCCAGCATCTTTGCCAAGAAAACCCCACAGACAAGTAAGTCCACGAGGTCAGGAAAAGTCAGACAAGACTGAACAACAAAACCCCCAGATCCTTTGCAGAACTGCATCTAATCATACTTCCACCACATTATACTTGTGAAGTTGAATTGTTTGTACTCAGTTGAAGGAATTTACGTTTATTCCTATTGAACTTCATCCTATTAGATTCGGCCCAATCTCTAGCCTGTTAAGATCCTTTTGGGTCCTGACTCTGTCATTCACTGTATTAGCAATCACTTCCAGCCTTGTGTCATCTACAAATTTGGTAAGCATACCATCCATGTCTACATCCAAGTCATCGATAACAAAGTGATTTTACAGCATAGGGCCAAGCACAGATCCCTGGGATACTCCACTAGAAACCTCCTGCCATGCTGGTATTGAAAAATTCAAAACGATTCTTTGAGTTCAGCAATCTAACCAGTTCTAAATATGATTGTGTCATCATCTGATCCATATCTACCTTCTCCACAAGAATAGTATAAGATTCTTTGTCAAAAGCTTTTCTAAAATGTAAGTAAACTATATCCACAGCACCCCCTTCATCTACTAGTTTAACAGTCCTATCAATAAGAAGAGAGGTTAGTCCTGCTTTTGACAAAGCCACACTGGATTTTTATAATCATTGTTTCCCTTTCTAGATATTTGCCAGTCATCTCTTTAATTATCCATTCTAGAATTTCCCCAGGAATAAAAGTCAAGTTCAGTGGCCTATAATTTTGTAAACACTATTCTTCCCTGTTCACTCTTCCCTTTTTTGAAAATCTGCATGTAGCAAATATACTCTGGCCCATTCTTCCATAATGAGGCAGCTACATCTCTTCCACAGGGCTCTGAGGGGACTGTAGGTATCTCTGCCATTGGCATGAGTCCCCATCAGTTATGTTCCTTCCATTAGTAGGTGCCAGTGAATGAATAGTGCTCCAGTTCCATTTAACCACTTAACATTGATTGGATTTTACAGAGTGCCATTTACTTTGAAAATACAGCAAGAACAAAGCTATAATCATTTCCCCCCAACATCTCAGGAATACATTCTCACCTTACCCCATATCTTAGTCTCTGGGGATAGTGGGCTCACTCTTAGCACAGTTTCTACATTACATTGGTCCCATCCAATTCGTGTCCAGATGCAGTATGACTGCTGGATTGAAGAGTCTCCCTCTCAGCTACCACTGGGTTGTGTTGAGAAAGTCATCACTTGCTACTCCAGCCATCAATACTGAGATGGCTACAAATCTATTGGGATGCTGGGATGTTTGGACTCTGCAGAGACACACTCCCGACCTTGAAGGTGAGATGTAGCCAGCCTGATTCCGGGAGAGTGTACTAGAGCATATTTGTTACACGATCTTGATCCTATGGTACCTCTGTTTTTTCCTGCGATTTTAAACATCACTGACAATGGCTCAGCAGTCTGCAAGATTTTTTCAGAACCTGAGACTATAGTTCACGTAGGCCAGATGACTTGAATTTATCAATGTCAACTGGGTACTTCCTTACTTATCTTGGGTAGGTATCAACTCCGCTTTAGTAAATTTTTTTTCTCTGTCATTTACAATCTGAGGGTCATTCTCTTTTGCAGAGAAAACAGAAATAAAGTAAATGATGAGTAGCTCTGCCTTTTCCCCATTATCAGTTATCATTTCCACCCCTTTGAAGTAGAGATCCTATCCCTTTCTTTGAGCCTCTTTTTCTTTTATCCTCCGAACATAGTTTTTAAACATTGTTTTTTCCTTATCTCTAAGTTTCCTCAATAATCAGAGCCCAGTCTGAGTTTTCATTTTCCTGGCATTATTTTTATAGGGCAGTGCCACAAGCTATTCATCCTCTGTTGTCTGGCCTTGCTTCCATCTTTCTTTAAAAAAATCTAAGTTGGCGAGTTTCTTGTGCATCCATATCAGTCTCTTCAGATAAATCCCATTTTTCCTCCCTGTTAGAATTGTTTCCTTTTCTGTCTTCAGAATTTCATTTTTGAGTATCCTAAGATGGCTTCCCCTGAAGCAATTAAATCCATGGGACCTTATCTATCTTTCCACTGAACCTTTTGAAATCTGTTTTCTCAAAATTTAATGTGTATGTCAGACAATGCCCAGATTCCTTTCCTTCTGTTTAACAAACTCTAGAATGGAGTAGTCACTTCCTTCCAAGATTCTCATCATTTCTACTCTAGCAGCTAGATCCTCCATGTTAGAATCAGTTCCAGAATAGAGTTTTCCCTGTCTGTTCTTCCTTTCGAAGGATGAAATCACCACTAAGGCGAAGCACAAAGTTATCAGCTATTCTGTTTTTGGCAGAGAGAGAACGCCAGCAGATGTCTGGATAATTGAAGCTTCCCACCTCTACGTATAATGCCCTTGTGCCAGGCTTCTAATCTGTTTTCCAAACTCCTCATCCATTTCCTATTTCTGTCCTGGTGACACTACATTACAACGATAAAATCACTTCTGTTTCTCTATCCTTTGACTTTCATACAACTATTCTCTATCATGCTTCCCCCTTTTCACTGTACCACCTTAGTAAAATACTCTTTTCTAAAAACTACTTAAGTCTGGATGACTTAAATGATTCTCAGCTGATAATCTGGAAGGGCGGGAGCAGGTCAATGGGGGCTTCAGCTGATGTCATCAGAGAATCACTCATGACCCCTCAGAGGTACCCTTAGAACTCTGAGTAGGGTGATATAGTTAGCCAACCTCTGGGGAACTGATTCATCTGTAGGAGTGGGGTGGGATAAGGATATTCATAGTTAACATGCACTATATATACATATGTATATGTATATGTGTATGTGTGTATGTGTGTAGATATGTGTTCATTAACAGTGTTTATGTTATATATGTATATACTACATATACTTTTCTCCCAAATTAGAATACAAGTTGAGATCGTTTCATCCTTTGTCCTTGGGCCCCAGCACCTAGCACAGTACCTGGCATGTAGTAGGCACTCAATAAATGCTTGATTGATTAATAATTGTTGAATGAATAAGCATACCTTCCTTGTTTGTGTGTCTCCTCATGTACTTCTCGCCTTTGCCTTTGAGGTCTGCTGTAAAAACAAAAAAATAGTTTTAAAAGAAAGAAATATGACTCAACCAATCAATAAGAATTCATTAAGCATCCACTATGTGTAAGGTAAATTGCTGGACATTGGGAATACAAATACAAAAGTGATCCAATCCCTGCCCTCAAGGAGCTTGCAATCTATCCTGAGGAGACAACACGTATATAAATACATATATTGTTATACCGAGAAATTAGCGAGTTGACCATCCAGGCTAATTTTAAATTGTGGACTTTATTATATTAGCGTGCGGCTGGCAGGGATAGTCATATCCAAATCAAGCAGCCCCCATCAGGGGTCGAGCTAGGGTTTATATAGGGATTATACAGGACAGGGAGGGGGATGGATCTTTGAAGTCTGGCAAGAGGAAGAGGGTTTTTTTGGGGGGCTGGTCAAGGACACCCCTCTCCCTCTGTGTAGATATGATAATGCTCTGCAAACTTTCTCACAATGGAGGCTTCCAGAGATATGATCTGAGGGCTGGAGCCTGAGCAGCCAGATAAGGGTCTTGCTAAGGAATTTGGAATTTTCCATGGCTAAAGGGTTCTACTACCTAAATGGTAAAATAATGTTCTGCATTACTTATAAAAAAAAATAAGGATTTGGAAGGGAAGCACTAGCATTTGAGGGGCTCGTGTAGAAGGGAGCACTTGAGGTGAGTCTTGAAGTAAATTTGAAATTCTAAGAGTTGGAGGTGAGGAGGTAGTGCACATTAGGTATAAGGGATAACCAAGGCAAAGGTATGATAGTGGGAGATGGGGTGCTGCCAAGCATAAGCAACAGTAAGATGCTCAATTTGGCTTGTGTGAAAGGAAGAAATGTGTAAAAAACTGGAAAGGTAGGTCAAGGTTGGATTGTGAAGGGCTTTAAATAACAGAGGAGTTTACATTTAATCCTAGAGGTAACAGGGAGCCACGGCATTTTACCAAGTAAAAAGTTGACATTGCCAGACCTATGATTCAGGGAAAAAATCTCCTTGGCAGCAGTGTGAGGAATGAATTGGATTAAAGAGAGACCTGAGTCAGAGTCAAGAAAGACCTTAGTTAGAAACACTAATTAGTAGGCTATTGTAATAGTGCAGACAAGAGTTGATGAGACCTTGAACTGGGACAGAGGCTATGTAAGTGGAGAGAAGGGGACAATTGGAAGAGATGTCATATAGGTAGATGACCTTATTTGCTATGTGAAGTGAATAAGAGTGAAAAGTCTAAGTTGACTCCAATGTTGTGAATCCAGGTGACTATAAGGAAGTTGGTGCCTTTTACAGAAGTAGGAAGGCTCAGAAGAGGGTTGGAAATATTGGGAAGAGGGCTGAGGGAATGCTGAGGACAAACGTTCTACTTCACAATAGTATATACTTCTATAATTGTTCATGCACACCTGTGAGTTCTCTGCATTGACTTCATGTTCTATGGGATAAAATAAAGGCTGTCTTTTACCTGATAGGTATTTATTACTTTGAATGCTTGTTTGGAGCTGGGGACCCCTCTTGTTCACATGATGAAACCTAGATCTTGTACTCTGCTGGAAAATATGTAGCTTATTGCCAGGAGGGGAGCAATTATAACCTCAGCACCTCTGAAAGGATCAAAATGGTGAAAATAGTGAATACAAAAGGTGACCTTTGAGAAGGCAATTAGGACTAACTTATGGAAAAGACAAACCTTACAGCAATGTTCATGGAAACTTTTTTCTTTCAACTCATTCCTTCCTCAAGCTTCTCCAGAAAAGAAGTATATTTTTGTCGTATAAGTGATTACATGTGTGTAGGGGATTTCTAATGTAGAAACTTCCTCTGCTAAAGCAATTAATTGCTCATTCCCACTCAGTCTTAGAGCTGCCTGAGGCTCTGAGGGGTTTTGGTCCAGATATAACTAATATGTGTCACAGGTGAAACCTGAACCCACATCTTTGCAATTCCAAGGCCAGCTTTCTATCTATTATGCCACCCTGTCTCTTAAACTATTATCTCAAAGAAAACGTGGCAGTTTGTAATTCTTCCTGATTATAGACACCACTAAGTAAATATTTAATTTGTAGCTAAGGTCAAGACAGAGGAGAGATCTCTAGAATCTAAAGTCTAGTTTCAAACACTCCTGTGAAGATGGGAAATGAGCACAATTTGACTCATCAAATGAGATGAAACATTCAATCAATTAGTACTTAATGTTTGCTGATTAATTGATTGTTGTCATAATTTGGAGCAACAGGCTGCATCTTATTAGGAAGTGATGAATCAAATTGTGCTCATTTCCCACCATTACCAAGGTGGAGGCATTTACTAAATGCTTACTATGTGCCAGGTGCTGTACTAGGCAATGGGATACAAAGGAAAAAAATGAAACAGTACTTGCCTTCAAGAATCTAATATTCCTTCAGAGAGACAACATATAAATGTGTGTGTGTGTGTGTGTGTGTGTGTGTGTGTGTGTGTGTGTGTGTGTGTAACATCTACCTCCCAAGTTTGTTGTGAGGATCAAATGAGATAAATTTGTAAATTGCTTAGCTCAATGACTGGCACATAGTAGGCACTTAATAAATGCTTGTTTCTCCCTTCCTTCCCTCCTTCCTAACCTCCTTCCCTCCTTCCTTCCTTCTTTCCATTCCATGACACATAATGGCTGTTTGAAACCTTCTCTTTCCTCCACAAGCCTCTAATGACATCCTTCTCCAAAACTTTCATCTAATACCTTCATACTCTATCCAAAAAATTGAGGTTGTCCAATGGACAACTCTCTCTTCTCTTCTCCTCCTCATGTCTCCATTCTCTGACATTGCCCCCCCACCTTTTCCTCTCTTACTTCAGTCTCTGAAGAGGCAGTACCTCTCCTTGACAAGACCAACTCCTGATTCCATCCCTTCTATCTACAGCAGACTGCCCCCATTATCATCCCCTCTTTTTTCTAATATTTAATCTCTTCCTGCTACCTACAAACACACCCAAGTCCCTTCCATCCTCCAAAAATTCTTACAAGATTCTACCATCTCTGCTCATTAAGGTCTTATATTTCTCCTCCTTTTCTCAGCCAAACTCCTTGAAAAAATCTACCCATGTGGATTTCAGTGGCTCTGCTTCCTTTCTTTACATTCTCTTTTTAACTTCCTGAAAAAAGGAGGTTTTTAACATCCTCATTCAAGTGAAACTGTTCTCCCCAAAGTTATCAGTTCTCTCCTTAAGACCAAATCTAATGGCTTCTTCTCAATCCTCACTCTCTCTGACCTCTCTATTGTACGTGACCTCTTAGATTCCTTCTCCCCCAGCATAATCTCTCCTCTCTGGGTTTTTGGGGCACAGCTCCTTCCTGGTTTTCCTCCTACCTGTAGGACCTCTCAATCTCAGTCTCCTTTGATGATTCTGTGAGAGATGATCTCTCAGAAGTGAAGCCTCCTCAAAGGGTCATTAGTTCTTGTTAACGGTTCTGGTATTGTTGCTTTTGAGTGGTACGTGTGTACCAACACTAAGTGAAGACCCCTCAGAATATAAGACCCCCTCCCCTAGCCCTTCTCCCTCCCCTACTCTCAGATAGTGTTAGCAGAAATTCCTGAGCTGTAAAAGCATCCTATCTCGTCCTCTAGCTAGTTATATGACCTTGGGTAAAAGGCTGATGAAACTGTGAGGCCCTGAAAAGGGGAACATGCTAACATAATTTCTATACCTCTTTGTTCTCTCTGTTTCTGGGGTAGATTTTCGAGTTTCAGATTGTAAGGCTGAAATTCCTGTCCAATGGGAATTCAAAGCCAGTGGTGGGTGGGTATTTCTGCATTAGGGCTTGGCCTTGCTTTGCTCGGACTGCCCGAGGAAGCAGACTCCCGCTTCTCGGGAGAAAGTAATAAAACTTTCACTTTATACCTAGAGAATCTCTGAGTATTATTTTGGGCAGGGTTGCAGCTGTACCACACAGTTAATCATCCACATCATGACATGACCAGTAACTGTAGGCTCTGCCCAGGTCCCTCTTATCTTTTCTCTCTTCATTTTCTCTATTGGTGACCTCACCAGCTCACATTTGCCTCATCACATCACATGGTCATGAGTAAGCTTCTTTGAAAAACATCCTTGTCCCATCTCTTCTATCCCATATAGTTTCATTCATGATTTATTGAAATAGAGTTCTGGAAAACCAGGCGTGGATAAAGTGCATTGGGATTCAAATGGAGCTACTTGACTATGCCTTGAACCCAAATCACTCTGACTGTCACTGATTGGCCAATAATAAGTCCCAGCCCAAGCCTCATTTGGTCATTGTTTGGGTTTTGATGTCTCACAGTGAGTGTAAATAGAAATTGGTTCTATTCTGGCCAGAAACCCTGAGGGTCTTCTTCTCCCAGACGGATTTTTTTTTTGAGAGTAGAAAAACTAGGCCAATCTTTTGCCACATTTCTTACCTAGCCTTAAATCACTGAATGGGTGTTGACTCAGGCAGAGAGCTGGAAAAGACCTTAGCTTAAAAAGGCTAAGGTCTCCCACTGCATCTGGGGTCATCTCCATTTGTCCTGACCATAGGTCTTGCCACTGGACTCAGACGACTCTGGAGGAGAGAGTGAGGCAGATGACTTTGCACAGCTCTGCCTCACTTAAATCCAGGTCACTTGCAATTCAAGACATCACCCTCCTGGTGTTACTGGTGTTCTTCAAGAATGAAGGACGAACAACAACCTGTCCACATTTGGCAACTTTACTTTTTTGTAGACCGAAACACTATTAAAAGTGGGCTAAATGGAACTCTGATTAATTTCTGTAACCATTCTTAGTCCTGGAGAACAGAAAATGTAATGTACTTCCTCTCAGTAGAGAGGAGGGGGGCTACAGCTATGGAATGTTGAATACCTTGTCAGAGGTGATTACTCAGTTTTATTTAGCTTTTTTTTTTATTACAAAGCAAATTTTAGTGGAAGGGAAGGAGGTGGTAGGTTGTTTTTCTTTTTTGTTTCTTTCCTTTCTTTTCCTTTAATTCCATTGGTACAGAGAACTACCAGTGTAGAAA